AGTGATGAAATGAAATAGTAGAGAGTGTGGGGTGAGCTGTGGGTGTGATGTATGGGTGAGGGTATAGTTGATGACGGTGTGAGGTAAGAGAAGATTCCCACGCATTCCCATACACAATGTCACCTAAACCTACACCCAAACCCACCCACACCTAGATCTACCACTGACTCTCATCTCACACCAACATTGACACCCACACTTGGCGAAAATAGGCAAATTGAGAGAAAAGTAATAAATTCTGTATTCCACGAAGAATTATCAGAAAAAATCAAAATATAAGAATCGTTTATTTTCCTGCTGCGCAACATTTGGTATCGTCGTTGGAACAAGGCTGTTCGTATTTAGAACACACCACATTTCGAAAACAGATTTCTGTAAACATGTCGTAGCATTGCCCTTTTCGAAGGTCAGACATGATACATGGACTTTGGTTTTGATTACAGAGAGTATCGTACGACCAGCATGTTTTACCACCGGCGATCTTGTAGCACTGCTTTCCGCATAAGCTTTCACCAATATAACATACTACACTCTCACCATTGCCGACAGACCAGCATACCTGTGTATTTGGATTATAGCACACACCTTCTGGCCCATTCGGACCATTGAAACGAGAGTAGCATGGAAATTCATTGCTACCACAAAATGGAAAATCACCCATCACCTCTTTACCAATCATTGCGACGACGATGGCGCACAGTATCAACTGTTTGAACATTGATGTGTCTATATTTATACGTAGAAAAATCAGATTGTTCATATAGTTCTAAAGAATAAGGCTTATCAGCACATACTTCAAATTCGCGTAATAAAATAACAGACGATGGTTTATTGAAAAATAAACATGAAGTCTTCCTTATATACAAGTATGAAAATGGAAGTGTTTCTAAAGACACAACTACGCGTCGTCTTTTAAGCAGTTCCTCGCAATTGAAATATTAATATACATAAGGATTATCAAGTATAGCTATTAATAGTTATAAACATGATATTTTACAATTGAATGCATAGTACGATAACAAACTATTCACTAAGCGGCATGATTATTGTGAAACGATTAAATGTGACTATACTTTGAGTTTACTTTCCTTTTTTCTGACGATAGGCAATTGACGCATTACTACGATACTACGCAAATATCATTATTTATATGCTTCCGTTTTTTTTCTCTCTGCAGTGATGTTGACACTTACTCATAACTGGTGTACACAGAACAGAACAAACGACAGAATGCATTTCTCAGGCAAGAGCATATTTTTCACTTGCCTGTACTTTTATGCCGATATTACAGTGAAACAACGAATGATCTGCCTGAAAACCGGAGAATGAGGGTATTGTTGTATCCACTATTGAATAGTGCAAGAGTTCTTGAAAAACATGGCTAAATGACCAAGTTATCAGTAATAACTCGCAATCGATTGTGAACCTTTTAAATAAGTCTCTTCTTCTCATTGGTAAACTCCACTAGGGGTGGGGTGTGAGTGTGGCAAATTAGAAATTAAAATATATAAAGAAACAAATCTTACTTGTATTTGTATGGATTTATTGAAAGAAAACGATCATATAAGTCGCTATAAATTTGATATTCAAAAAATCATCCTCGTTCAGACCAAACTCGAGACTGAAATCAATCGATAAGATAAGTAAAGTGCGAATAATGAAAAGTTAAAGCGAATTTCTCTTTTTTCGTATTTTAATACATGGTTAGATAGAGCTGGTCGAGTTAAGTAAAATTATATATATCTATACATAAATTTTTTTGAAAGGCTTTTGATGACAACAATTCAAATTTTTCTACAAAGCTATCTAGTTTTTTGCTTCTCAAGATATACCTGAGTTTATATGCCACTTGAACCGCTCGATAATAGGCTTCAAAAGTATAACTTTGCTTTTTCGAAACATTGATGTTTTGGAACACAACACCATTTAGCTCTGGCTCGGGACCCAAAAGCATGAAATCTTCCCAATAATTCGAGGTTGTCTTTGTCAAAAAACGGTAATTTAAAAAGAAAACTGCTAGATTCGAAATCAGGGTGTGGGTGTGGGTGGGTGTCGGTGTGTTTAAATTGAATGAAATTCCAAGCAAACTTACGACCGGTTTCGTCCTTGCTCAAGGGACTCATCAGGCAATTTCGGAACTTCAATAGGGGGGTTGTCATTTTATCATGTTCGTAGTCGAATTCTTTGTTTTATTAGAAATCTTCTTTTGTGTTTGAAGTAATTTTTCTATCTGTTCTGGCGGCATTCTTCGGTGACGACATTTTTTTCTAAAACGTTGATCTCTACGAATACCATGACATTTTTTCGTTTGTTGTCCTTGATTGGTCAACTGATGATCATCATTTTGAATGTCAGCCGTGTTAACATCCATGTGTCAAATTTGATTAAATTCTTTTGAAATTTTATCTACAAACAAAAAAGAACAAATGACAAAGATGATTTAACATACAGATTAGCTAATCGACTAATATATGAGTGAAGATCAATAAAAGAAAAATCTTTTACTCATTGATACATATATATGTGAATTTGATATTGAAAAAAAAATATGAAGCTTTATATTTATATATAATTTGTATACATTCTCCGATTTTTTTACAACGCTCATTAATAAGATTAATCATAAATAGTGGTTTTTTTTCATTGTCAGAAAATGTTCCACGTTCAAACCACATTTTCATGATATTATCGTCATGCTTCTTTTTATATTCATCTCGTTGTTCTTCAGCTGTTTTCATATAGAAAGCTAATAATTGAGCTTTCGATTGTTCAGAAATTTCTTTGTATTGATTGTATAATTGTTATCGAAGTTCAGTATTTTCAATAGAATTAATTAATATTGATTGAGACAAGAATGAATTTTCAAATGATTGACTAGGTGAATTATAATATTTATTTGTTTCTGAACAAAATCAAATTCTTGTTGTGTTGTTTCTTGTTCATATTTACTTTGACATAGTTGTCGAAATAATTTTCTCTAAAATAATCAATCAATGACGTCAATGAAGATTGACTATTCCATATGCACAAAATATATCTGATATTGATTTGGATTATGTCGATCATATTCTTGTTTTATTGCTTGTATATGATAATCATAATGAATGAGCTCTATTTGATGGTCAATCTTGGTGCATAGAAAAGACAAATCTTGTCGAATATATTTTTCAAGTATTTGCTGTATGATAAATGAATTATTATTGAATTGATCGATTTTTATATTTAATTGATTTTGATATTGCTTCAGTTGATCGTCTAGTGAATGTATTTGATGATTAATAAAAATCATACAAATTTGATGTCGATTTTCTTTAGCAATCATTCACTCGTATTCATCGATAGTGATCGGACGTGTTTTTACACCACTGATACACTCTTACATTCACACTTTCATAGCGCATATTTCTTTCTTTTATCTTTCTTTCTTCTCTCCGCCCTATATATTCCCTTTAAGGAATGATGGGGGTGGATGAGTCATCAAAAGAAAATAAAAACTCCTCTTTCAAAAAAAATTCCAACAACCTCAAAACCCCAAACTCCAACACTCAAACAACAAATATTCAAATCGACAACAACAACCGTAACAATACAAATAAACATGCAATGCAAGAGTCAATTGTAATGCAATCAACACTACAAAGCAACAACACAATCACAGAAACAACAAAAGCAAGTGATTACAAAGTTCTTAAACAAAGTTCAAAATTTCCTCCTTATTCAATAACCTTCAAAAGGTCACCACAAGTTGAACAAGTTACAGATCGTAAATTATTAGAACTTCTACTTGTAGAATGGAAAGACAAAAATAATTATGTACCTGATATTACAGGAAGATTCGGACATGGAAAATGTCTTTTAATCTTTGCGAATGATGAAACAAGTTTTGAAGAATTATTCAATCAACAAAATTGGCCGACAAAAATCAATGATTGTGAATTTGATTTAAAAATTCCACGAGTTTCACCTTCAATATATTCTTTAGTAATCCAACAATTCTTTAATAGCTGGAACATTGAAGAAGTTTTTGAAGATTTAAAAACCTTGTATCCTACATTAATTAAATTAACAAGAATGTATTCATTTAACAACAAACCTTTAAATTTAGTGCGTGCCGATTTTTGTTCACTTCAACAAGTCAAGAAATTACTTGATGATGGTCGTATTACAATTGATCATATGAAGAACTTAGTGAAACAATATCATCCTCCTGCAAAAATAAGCAAATGCATGAAATGTTACAGTCATCATCATTCCACAAATGAATGCACTAGCCAAGTTCAACTATGTATCCGGTGTAGTTTAGATCATCCATATAACAATAATTGTCAAAATGAAATAAAATGTATTAACTGTGGTCAAGACCATTATGCAGGTCATTCAGCCTGCCCGGAAGTACAACAAATTAGAAGACAAATAAGTCAAAACCAAAGAGAAAAAAGAACACAACTACTAATAAATCTAGAGCAAGATCAACAACTTCATTACAATAACAACAATCAATCATTTCCTCAACTACCTTCGACATCAATACAACAACAGCAACAACAACCACAAAGATATTCCTCTCAGCCACAAACGTACGCATCAATTCTACAGGCTCAGACTCAACATCAACAACAACCACATAAAAATGACCGAAATCATGTTTACATCGAAAATATCTTAACAACATTTTCAAATAAAATTGAATATCGACTACAACAATTTGAAGAACGTCTAATTAATCAAGTTATAGAAGTAGAAAAAATTGTTGACAATCTTAAAAGTACTACTTGTGAATTAGAAACAGTAATTTTTGAAACAATTTTACCATCAATTAAAGCAATACAAGAATGTTCTTTTGTCAACACAAGAAGCACATCAACACGTGAAGATTTAACCAGATATAAAAATGAAGTAACAAACCTATTAACAAGAAAAAATAATAATAATAATAATACAAAACCAAACAAGAGTAATACATCGGACAATCGAACAAAAGGAGTACCAAAAACTATAGCAACAAAACAAACACCATCTACACTTTTCAATGACAGCGAATAATCTTAGAAACATAATCTCAGAAGAAAATATCATAGAAGAAAAATTTCAACATCTTTGTTCTGGTCTATCGCAATTTCAAATGGCCCTAGCGCGCTCTGCATTTTCCGAATGGAATGACAACTCAAATAAGATGCAAGTAATCAACAACTGGCTACAAGAAGTCAAAAAACCTGAGACTCACGTAACCCCATTATCAATTCTTCATTACAATATACGACATTTCTTTTCGAACCAATGCGACTTACTCGATATGGTTACTCAATACAATCCAACTATAATTTCGTTAAATGAATTAGGTACTCATGTTCCTGATAAAACTATTAAGCAACTTCTATTTTCATATAATATCTTTACCAACAAAGGTACTAATCCACATGGTGGTGTTGTATTAGCTATCGATAAAAAGTTAAATTCTATTCAAATAAAAATTGATCAATTGAATATTGTTGCAGTTCAGCTTATAATTAAAAACCAAACATATGCGATTGTATCAACTTATTCCCCTCCAAATGAACCATTACCTTTACAAATAATGTTATCATTAACCAAAAATTTTAAAAATATCATAATTGTTGGTGATCTCAACGCTAAACATCCGAACTGGGGGTGTACCTCTTTTAATCACAAAGGAAAAATTCTTGCTGAATGGCTTGATATTAATGAAATGTATGAAATTCAGAATCAAGGTATGAAAACCTCCTTAAGATCAGACACTACAATTGATCTAGTACTTACAACACCGACTATTTCATTATCACAATGTACAACACTGCCGTATACAGGTAGTGATCATCTACCAATATTCTTTGAATTAAATGGAATCAATTTACAAGGAAACTCTTACATTATCTCAAAAACGTATTGGAACATTTATAGAATTCTATTAACTACGATTAGTTCTTATATTCAACAAGAAAACGTGAAAGCACTTCCAGATAATCAATTTGAATGGTTTACATCTTTTCAACAACTGCTGCAAGCTGTTAAACAAAGAGTAACAACATTCCATATGACAAAGCAACAACGACCAACGATATCTACTTCATTACGAGCAATACTCAAGCACAAACACTACCTGCAAAATAAATACAGACATAGCAAACTGGAAGAAGATAGAGTACGACTACGTTCATGGAACAAATTAGTTCAGCATGAATTGAAATCTTTTCGACAAAACAACTGGAACACTTTCATACGTCAAGTTGCATCTCCTAACCCG